TATTTCTAATCTATCGTTTTCCAATTGGTTATTTGTTTAAGCATCGTTATCTAAATAATCAGGGTGGTAAAACAACTACACCTCACAAATGAGGCACCGTCCGTTTCATGGCCGATCCCCCGTGGTGGGTTGCGCCAGAACTCTGAGGAACAACCAACCGACCAACCAACCAACATGGTAACAAGCCCTCGCCGTTACTCAAGCGGTCAACGTGCCCGGAATACCGAATCACCGTGAAAGCGCGAGAAAGGTTGGCAGACACGGCGGATCCACCCCCCCCCCCCCCAAAAAAAAAAGGCCAGAAGGCGGGGCGGACGTAGGACAGTGTACACAGGCGCACAAACACACCCCGAATAGCAGCAGACTCCCGATTCCTGCACCCTGTCATCGCGCGGTATAAAAAGAAAGCAAGAAATTAATGGGAGGTGCGGATTCATAATATCATTAGCATAATGACGCGTCCTTTTTTAGCCACCCGAGCCGCCAACCCTCTCTCCTTGTCTACGGCCTCGCCGGTATGCAGGGCGCGTAGCGTGCAAGAAACTGTCGATGCGTGGCACATGGGAAGTGGGTGTGTTCCCGCATCGACCACCGAAGCCTTCAGCGACAAGGAGGCAGCTATGTACTGGAGGGGTAGGGGGGGAAGTATAGGTGTTGTTGTCTGCCCCTACGAGTTTGATTTCCGATTAGGCGCTTTCTCCGAAGTGGCCAGCCAGACCGTACAGGGCACGAAGCACTTCCGTGAGACGCGAAGACCTCTCGGAAGAAGGCGACGACGGCGTGCCGTAGTACACGACCGAGAGCTCCAGGTCCAGGAAGGCTTCAATCTATCACCATTCATAATTATCATGAAAAAGTACGTACCCAAAGAATGGCAACGTATCTACACGCTTCAGTGCAAATGCCGTCGAAATGCGATGGCCTTCTGCCGGCCGTCTTTTTCGCGCATAGCGTCAAATTTTCAGCGCAGCGTAGAAAACACTTGAGCTATTAGTATTACGCTTATATATATATATCTTTTTTTTGTAAAAGAGCACGCTACTTAATACGTACGTATTGATGTTGCGCATTAGATAACAGTAATGTTTGCTTGTTGACCGACAATGTTCGTCAGTATGAACGCAGCCATCAGTTCAAAATGGCTGGGAGTTCAGCAAGTGCTTCAACTTTGACCGGGCAGCTGAATCGTGAGACATACATACATACATACATACATACATACATACATACATACATACATACATACATACATACCAAATTTTTTGCATTAATGTATCCCAAGTTATACTCTAAAAATTGCAACCTGGAAAGGAACAAACAAAAGGGCACACCACGCTGCCTTCTCTTGTATGTCCTTTCTTTTTTTCACACTGGAGCGGCTCAAGTGACCACCCTGTCGTCGTCTCATGTCTCACGTTGATGTCATGCAGGTCGCACATTTTATGCACATACTAAGCCGAACAGTACTGCACGTTTCGAATGCAGCGCTTGCTTTTCTCTGAACGGCAGCGTCTCCGGATAGCCGATTCGTCTGCTCGGGTCAGAGAAACTTTTATTTTTTTTAGGGGGCGAAACTTCTTAGGGTGTGGGTCGTTCCCTCCTCCGTACATGGTATGCAGCCAGCTCTAGTTAATGAATTGCTCACTAGATGGCGCAGTGTGTCTATGAGTAAAATTGTATATAGGATCGCTAGACGTTGATAGGGCATTCTTATAGTTGATTAAAGTGGGGGGTCGGACAGACGAACAGACGCACGCTTCGCCCCACTAATTATCATTCATTCCTTGAATATGCTGTAACTTTTTTTTTCTCTTCTGCACCATTTTCATGAAGGTTGAGAACGATTACCGACAAAGCCCAGCTGTCGATTCTTCAACCCACTGCCACACCTCCCGCTTTTCTTCACTTACGCCTTTCTTTCTCGCACCACCAATAACTGCTATTCGACCACTACTATGTGCGTGACGTAGGTGAACAACTCCCGTTTATGGCACGCTCAAACGATTCGGGTCTTTCTTTTCTTTTTTTTCCTCCACTACAGAAAAGGGTGGAGCCTCTCTAGACGACGGCTCGCAATCGGCGAGCGATTCGAAATTATCGGTCACTTTCGGCTCGGCAAGAATGGACGACGACGGGAAATAGCGTGCACACAATACGTGTGTCACGACACTTTGGTGGCCTCTCGGTTGACCAGTGAATCTTTTTTTTTTTTCGTTTTTTTTTTGTTTGGAGGGGAGGGGCGTTTGGTTTTTTTCTTGTTTTTTTTTCTTTTGTAGCGCACTGGCTGAGAGAGAGAAGACACACTTCTTTTTCGAAACCCAACTCCGGGTCTGATCTCTGGGTGAGGCTTTACTGGCCTCCCCTAAGATGGTTAGTGTCAGTATATGGTTAAGTAGAATTGTCCATGGGGAGGTTGTTTCGCCCGGATTCGTAACCCAGGCGTGCCACGAGGTTGAACAGTTTCGCGTGGCTTACGGCGAGTTGTTCTGCGCAAGCGCGAGGTGCAGTGACGTCACACTGCTCACAGCTGGTGCGCCTAAGGCCTCAAATTGATTGATACGTAGAGATTAATGTCCCAAGACCACCATACGATTGTGAGAGAGGCCATTGTGGAGGGCTCCAGAAATTTCGGCCACCTGGGGTTTCTTTAACGTGCACCCAAAACTGGGCACACGGGCCTACAGCATTTTCACCTCCATCGAAAATGCAGCCGCCGCAGCCGGGATTCGATCCCGCTACCTGCGGGTCAGCAGACGAGTACCTTAGCCACTAGACCACCGCGGCGCTCACTAGTTAGTCGGTCCGTCCGTGGTTCGTTAACACATCCGTCCATCAGCACACGCTACGTATATCCTGGCATAGCCGAGCCAAGTCACTGGCAAATTTTTTTGGTCTTTCTTGTAATGAACACAATGAAGGGCAAAGGATGAGGTCGTCGTTCGGCATTATATGCAGCAAGGATTGCCACAAATGAGTGGCGAGGTTTGTGCATGCGGCACAATGCAATCCTAAAAAGTATATCTAATGATGATATGTGGAGTTCCGAAACGTTCCAAAACATTATATCAATGCAGGTTGTGTAGGTAACAAGTTTATTCATTGTGATAATGCAAAGCCCTAAAATAAAAAAAACAGGGACGAATCAATTACTCTATCAACGTTTCGATTCGGGAACCGACAGTGGTAAGTTTTTTTTCAGGTCAATAAAATGTTGGCGAATGGAACGTTTTTAAAAAGTGTGTTCGTAAAAAAAATATTAGACATGAATAAAATGGGAGCAGGGTCAGTTACAGACGCTCTTACTTTCAAAAAACGACACTGCCATGTCGGTCTCGTAAACTAGTATTAGTTTTTCTTTTTTTTTTGTTAGCCACGACATAAACTTTGCGAAGTCATAAAATGTCGGATGCACCGACCTAACCGCTTTCATATTTATGCTCCTGCCGCAGCCGTATATCTTGAGTTATGAAGGGCAAAGTCAATGGCCGAGTAAGGCAGCACCGAAACCCGTCTGTAAAATTTCTGAAGATTGTGAAGATGTTATTGCACTCCAAACGATGTCCAGCGTGGCAGAGGAGTAAAATGAAATGGCCGAGGGAACAGAAAAAAAAAGCAGTGGGTAGGAAGAGTACTACATAAGGACAAAAAAATAACGCCATCGTTTTGTCTGCTGGCGTCATCCCAGCAATCCAAATTTGTTTACTCCCCTTATATCAACCTAGACCATGTCATTGCACTTCCAAAGATTTATTCAGCACACCGAAACTGAAAAGTAAAATGCAGTTTGTGCAGTTCCCCAACGGTGCAAGTACATTCTATTTAGCAAATACGGAGGCTGCCTTTCCGAACTTCCAATTTCTGTGAGTCACTTGACATTTTATGATGCAAAACTGATCAAGAGATGTCTGTCCGGGTTGATCTCTGTGAAAAAGTACTTTTGTCATGTGAATGCTGCATGCTTCCAGCAGTATAATGTACAATTTAGGATTCATGGAATGGACTGAATTTTACAAACAATCTTGGCACCGCTGAGCTACAACAAATCGCACTGTAAAGAGCTCCCCTGATTGAAACATGTGACGCCCTGTTTGAACACGAATAAAAACACATGAGAACCACAGGTAGAGCACAACACGAATGCAAACTAACAACAGTTAATTTGATGGAAACATAATGCATATACACAGGGTGAAAAGAAGACAGCGTTAGCCAGCACGAAGCGCACAACAGGAGAGCAACCATCTCCGTCATATCGTGAATTCTGGCCTCGTATACAACCTAAATTTCTATGCAAAAATTAATTCACCATAAGACACAGATGGTTGCTTTGCTGTCGTATGCTTTGTGCAGGCTGATGATTTCTTCCTTTCACCCTGTTAATAGAGAGTTTTCGAATAGGAGCCCCAAAATGTTGGGGCACCAAAGCCCTTTGCGTATGGATGCTTTTGGTAAACCAGGAACGATGAGTTCTCCAAAATAAGGTCTGCGGCGCTTTGGACACTCCCTTTGTTTTACGACACTCTAGTGCTGGCTGAGAGCCGTCACTTCAGTGGGTGCCGTCATGTTTTTCTGACCCAAAACTGTTGGGCAGGCTTTGGGGCTCCCACTAAATTCGAGAAATAGGGTCCCCAACCCAGAACCAAAACAGGGTTTGGGCATGGCGTGTGAGCAGTAGTCTTGACGCTATTTCTTTTGGGCCCCTATTCGAAAACTCCCTATTGTGCATTATGTTTTGATCAAACAAACAGTTGGCTTGTGCTCGCATTGTGTGCTACCTGTGGTTTTCACGAGTTTTTTTTTTTTTTTCTTATTCAAACAGCACATCGCAAGTGTCAGCTATGTACAACCAACAAGCCCCTAACCTTGTCCTTCGAGCTTACCTGCTTTGCCATCACACAGAGCACGATTGGGAAACACTGGATCAAAAAATCCTGTGCAAAGAATTCAGTCTTGCCCATAAATTCATTGTTATTCAGCATATGACCAATCAGACATCTGTATATAGTACTTCTGTATATGATTTCTTTATTGACAAAAGGTAAATAAATGGTGATAACATGCGCCTTCCCCAAGACCTGAGTAAAATAAAGTGTATACGTACAACAAGCAACAATCCTTGGGCTACAACAACTCTAGTAAAATAAAGTGTATATGTACAACAAGCAGCAATCGATCCACTACAACAACAATGAAGCATGCAAAAACATGACTGCATGCCTTATATGCCATGCAACAATATACAACAAGCAAGTGGAGTTCTCAAACAGCGTGAGAGTCACAATTATTTGGGCAATATTTCATCGGGCATTGAACTGCATTAATTATGCAGACTCTGACAAGACTGCTTTAAATTCAAGGGGTTTGACCCTTTGTAAAGCTCGGCAAGTAGAAAAAAAGAAATGTGCAGTGATCTTCAATATCACAGGCAACTCTCGCCGGCAAAAAGAAATCATAAAATGATGATAGAAGACAACATCCAACAGGGAAAAATACCACTCAAGACGTCCAGAAAAAGCAACTACCATGTTGTGGCATTTGGGCAAGGGGCAATAGGTTTCTGTGAAAATAAGCTTTTGTGCTATGCACAATGTTGCCATGAAGTACACAGCAAGGCATTCCTTTACAACTCATCCATGCATAAGTGGCCAATAAGCTTTACAAGCTTACACGGGGCCTCAAAGGATTGCATTAAAAATGTACATTTTAAAGATGAGAAGCTGTCAAGTGAGGAATGACAGTAGAGCATATATGTCAGCAACAAGCAATTCTGGCTGAGACTTCTCATCCTTAAAAAAAAAAAGGTTTTTTTCTTCCTCAAGAATTTCATCTCATTTGAATTTTACACAAATCAAGGTGTTTCTATCACATGTTTTGACACACCGATACTATCGTGGTACCGCAGTGATACCGTGGTTTCGTTGCACCATGATAAAGCGAAATATTCATTTTCGTGTACGTGTGAAATAGTCAAGGACGTTGAGCACGCTATGTGGGGAATATGGCAGATGAAGAAAAGCGTCGGCTAGAAGTTTGTGTTCAGGTCTGCCGGCAAGGGAACGCCCTGTTTGCGAGCATATTCCAGCAGGGTGGAGTACTTAGAGCGTAGGTTGTCCACTTCCCCCTCGAGCGTCTTGTTCTCCTCCTGAAGGCGTGAGATCTCTTGGATCACGACTGCCCGTTCACCTTCCAAGTCATCCTTCTGCTCCAGCCGCTTGTTACGGCAACTGCAACAACATCAAAGAACAGTGTGTCATCACAAAGGAGCAGCAATGGCAATTCAGTGCAATAACACCCACTAGTTACTGGGCTCTACATGAACACTATGTAAAAAGGCAAGTGCTGTACAATAACTTTCATTAAACTAGTAGTAGATGAAAATAACTTGTTTTTGGTCTAAATGGTTCTTCTTTATAAGACAAAGCAGAGTTCACTAAAAAAGACACAAAATGCATGCATGACAAAAATCAGCACACTATCCAGTTTTCCATTATTTAACAAGTTTAGCGCATCCAAATGACGAGCATAACCCGGCTATTTGTGCTCAGCCTCGTTCTTTATGAAAAACACTGATGTATGAAAGCTTGTTATCAAACCTCAGTTTATTAGACTTTGTTTTTCTTCATCAATAGGCTACGAATAGAATTCTCAGGCGGGTGTCAGTAAATGACACGTTATTATAAATCCATGTTGATGTCCGACTGCACAGGATGCACCGACAAATTATTGTACTCTTCTGTGTAGCTCTTTCATTTACAGTAGATGCACCCCCACCGATAATAAAGAACAAAAAAAAAAAAAAACGAGGAGTGATGCAAATAACTGTTTTGTGTGTGGTTGGCACAGCCGTTAAGCAGCAAACACAAGCGTAAGGTTCAGCAGCCATTTCCAAATGGGTAACCAGCCCTTACGCACATATTCGCTATACCACAAGTATTCTAGAATGCTTACGAGGCTGCTGGAATGGTCTGCGTACCTTGCTGCGTAACCTCGATTTTTTAGTGTCCTACGGCGCTGTTTCATTTTGACGATCTCAGACCGGGTAAGGCCAGACGCCTTCAGCTGCCGGTTAAGGTCACGCACCGACAGGTGAACCAGCTCTTCATCGCTCATGGTGATCTTGTTGCTGATTGCCAGCGGCAAGTCCTCCAGCACCTCCGGCGGTGCCACATGCGTCTTGAACAAAACAACCACTTCATTTCCCCGAACTGCATCGCTCAAACGGTAAGTGCTCAGACTTTCGTTAGCACAAACATAATGAAGCTAGAATTGTTTTTAACCCTTTAAGGTGTTTGAAACCCAAATAGGCACATTGGCTCTTTTTTTTGCTAGCTGTGCTGGCTAGGTGGTTAATAAGAAGCTCAATACTTGGATGATTCAATTAATTTAATCTCCTATGCAATAAATATGCATTCATTTAACTTCATTTTGCAGTGTAATATCGCATACGTTCACTTTGTTCAGGGTGCCTATCATGTTTGATGAGTCATGCAAAACCCCACTTCTCGCGAGCAACATAAAAAGTAGAATTTTTCATTGCTGAAAATGAAAACATAAGGTATTGAATTGACACCATATTTCTCGGCTAAAATTACATCCTATTGATGCAAAAACAAAACTTGGATCAGTCTAGGATTAAAATATATTTAGTTATAATTTATATATTTAGTTACTATATAAAGCAAACATTTCAAAAGTATTGTAAAAACATTTTATTTGAAGTAGAATATTAACATTTAAAAAGTTTGACGTACTTATAGACGGTTCTTCAGTTATAGACAGTTCTTCGAAGAGCTAAGTATCAGTGAACAACTTTACTAATTAAATAGCTTTATTATCAAAGGGCTAAGAGACACATCAATACCAATCCCTACATTGTGATCCGCTTAGTTTCTATGTGCTATGCTCCCACATGAACAGAGCAGGTCTCCAGCTGCATTTCCAAACAAGAATTACTTGAAAGCATGTGGTATATTTATACCAGAGTTGAAGTACAAAAAGAAGAAAGCAATAAGGACACAGCATAGAAAACCAGGCATGGCAAGCAAACAATTATAATAAAAATCATTTACAATAACACAAGCCTAACAATAGTAACAACACAAGCTTTAAGCAACGGCATGAACAATAAGCTCTCTGAAACACACAGCTGGTAATACTGTTAGTTGTGATTAGAACAATTTAATGAGTGTTTCAGAGTCTCTGCATTGCACACGGAAGTTTTTTTTTGTGTTCTGCAAGAAACCATTTGAAGACATGATTTAAGCTTCATGCTTCTATAAAAATGTCAAGGAAATACACTGACATGTCAATTTTTAAATAAATTTGTTCCACATCTCTTTGATTGTATACTATTAAAAAAAGACATGGTCACAGCAACATTTGTGCACTACCACAATGTAAAAACGTTATTCTAGAAAATACACCGAGAAAGCCTGCAAGAAAAAGTCTGATGTCAAGGCGCACATATTGTCATTTGTTAGGCCCAGCTACTTTCACATCAACTATTTTCGCCGATGATGGGAGAGGCCTTTGCCCAGCAGTGGGCTTATACAGGCTGATGATGATGATTTTCGCATCAGCATCTTGCCACCAGTGTTGTGAAAGTTGCTTCAAACAGTGCTTCGTTAACATCGATTGAGACTAAATAAATCATAAAGTCTATATTGAGTGCAATAATGATTTTATGATAGAAACGTACAAACTGTGTCCAACAGTTTCTTAAATTCTCCGTCATGTTGGGTTGAAAGCAACTCTACTGATTTAACTGCCGTCGAAAATCTTTTTTTTTTCCTCAATAACTTTGAACAATGGCCCGAGACAGGTCTGTCCACAAACCAAATATAAATCGCCGGCTATCCAATACAAGTTATCGATGCAAGTTATCCAATACAAATTAAAGTAAAGGCGTTTATAAAACATCGGTATACCTAACCTGCGAATTAAGCAACAGCAACAGGCTCCCAAGTAAGTAAAAGTGAGGTTCTATGAACAGCGAAAATAAAAAAAAAAAGGTCCTGTTGGTAACAAGCGAAATAAAGCTAAACTAGAAACATTATGCCCGTCGGCGTCGCATCTGAACCAAGCAAAAAGAGAGAAAAAAAAACACACACGCAACGTTACGCTAGCCAAAGGCCAACAGAATGATCGCAACAGCCGCGCCAATTTGGGGAGTATTGCAATCTACGCGGAAGCACTCACTGACGCCGTAGTACAAACTGGGCCGGCAGCGTTCAAAACCAACACACACTGTGCCCTGGGTTATCAGTGGGCCTAGTTTCGCATCACTGCTGTTTCTTCGGCAAAGTGGCTGCAACATGTCTGCGCAAGATGCTTCAACGACACAGCAAGTCCGACCGCGACTGTCAAAGACTGAAATTAAAGGTCAACCCCCGAGGGCACGCCGGTCCAGCAACCTCGAAACTGAGGTCAATGGCAACCAGCAACCCTCGCAGTGCAGAGACGCTCAATGCTGCCTTCACAGCGTGCCACACTTTGAATCAATGCGCGCCACAACGAAAGGAGAACTTCGCGTTACCTGGTGATCAAAGTATCCCATCATCATGACGGAAGAGGATTATTCCGAACGCGCACTACAACACAGTAGCAAAACCAAGGCCTGTGCCACCTACAGCCGGGCAGTCGGGTTACCTTGTTGACGCGACGGCTGGCGGCTTTCTCCGCCTTGACTTTCGAGCTTCGCCTCTTCATGGCTGACTTGACGCACGGAGAGCCGTTCCACCCTCGTTAGCGCAGACGCGCCGAGTCAGCGGCGTTTTGACACGGACCAGCGATCGCCGGCGAGCCTTCACGATGAGACGCACATCACCGCAATCACAACGGACGCTGCCATGTTGGCCGACCGAGCGATTCAGCCCCGCCTTCCGCACGCGTTTTCAGGCTTGCGACAGATGGCGGTAGCGACGTGTTATCTTGAACGAAAACGCGTGGGCGGCAGTTTTGAAGTTCGACAAAGCCAACGAGCTTTGATTGTCGCCTGATTACAAAGAAGGAGATCGTAATGAGGTCAAAAGACTAGGCGAAGCTTTCACACGTTTACAAGAAAACGATGAAAGAGGTAGCGCCCTAATTTTTGGAAAGCGTTCCAGGTGTGCCTGGATGCACGTGAAGCGTGACGTCGTAACGTGCAACCCTTTACGCACTGCCGGAAACCTCTCATAATACATGCCGAGAACGCCTCCCATTAATATAGCGTGGTCATTCATCAAAGAAACATTGAAGCTGACGTGCAGTATACACCTGCAAATCTGAGTGTTTACTAGCGCCACACCCTGGTTATAATATATAAGGCGCGTTGCCGCTGCTTGCTGGTCGAGATGCCGTGGATCGTTCTTCACTCGTCTCAATATGTCGACGATCCATATCGCCTGCGCGAAAGGGTGCAACAGCACGCCCGGCTGAGGGGGTCACGCCCATATCGATCTCGAAGCCCGTGCCAAAGGCGAACCTAGCCGCGACACCATTACTCTTATTATGTGCTGTGCATTGCAGAGAGAGGCCGACTCTTCATGATCTCGAAGCACGCGACCGGTCGGAACCACGCGAGAAAACACTTGAAAAAAAAAAAAAAAAAAAAGGTGGAGGGGGTTGGAGAGGGCTCATATTCATTGCAGACAAGAGCTGTTTGTTTTCTCCGCTAGGTGCCAGAGCGTGCCTAAAGGCCGGTACAACAGAGTTACATCGATGATAATTTTTGTTATCGACAATTTATTGTTGTTGTTGTTGTTGTTGTTGTTGTTGTTGTTGTTGGTGGTGTTGTTGTTGGTGTTGTTGTTGTTGTTGTTGTTGTTGTTGTTGTTGTTGTTGTTGTTGTTGTTGTTGTTGTTGTTGTTGTTGTTTGCTATCTGCATTCGCTGCATATGGAAATATCATGAGAGTACAAGGTCTGTTCGGGAGGCAATGACCCTTTCGGAAAGTGGAAAGGGACACTACATGCGCTGAAAACATGTTTACCTGTAGCTCTGTCTGTAAATGTAGTTAATTACTTATTTAATTACCAGAGTTAGTGGATGCCGGTGGTGCCTGCGTATAATTCTCGGGGCTTAATCTACCCCCGAGAAATCCCATTCAACACTGATGTTAGCTGCTTTTCCATCATTATGCGTCTGAAGTTGTTACCGCCTTGTACAAACCAGTACAATTCTCAAACAAAAACAAAAAACAAAAAAGGTTTCGGCAGATCCCACGTAACTACCGCGGAAAACAATGATATGCGAAGCGTACATCAAGAACTTTGCTATGTGGCACCTTTTAAATGAGCATAACGCTACGATGTGGATGGACGTAGTAGTCAATAAACATACGTAGAAATTTCATAGGTATTCACGTATCTAGACAACGTGCAAATGTGACAACTCGTGCCTCATAGCTGCGCAACGACTCCGCCACTAGCGTGGGCCCAGCCAGCACCAGCAGCGGTTGGCTCAGATGTTGTCCTCGTGTATTAGTCCGTGACGTTGCTTACGCGGAGCGCAATGCTCGAGCGAGGCCAGTTTTTTTCTTTTTTTTTTTTGTTTCACTTTCGGGGCACCTGTTATGAAATGGACCGACGTTAAGATCAGCAGTTGTCTGCACATCGCGGGCTTACCAGGAAACGTCCTCTACCCTGGCGTTTACTGGTGACTGCACCGGGTCTGACATAACGTCGGCACTCACGTTAGAGCGCATCAAACGGAGCACGCTTTGTACGGAGCGGCGGTGTGACGATCACACGTAACTTTAATTAGCGTATTCTCCCGGAGTTGAGCAAAGGCGTAACCAGAAGCCTTTTTTGTGGGAGCGAGGGGGTGAAATGCTCTAAAAAAATTGGGAGCCTTTTTTGTGGGAAGGGGGGTGAAATGGTCTTTTTTCACAATCTATGCCATCGCAAAAAAAAAAGGGAGGGGCATGAGCCCGGAGTGCCACTTCAGGGCTATAACACCCCTGGAGTCGGGCAAGGCTTGTATATAGCTGTAGCTGAATCGAACGAACACAAATGTAATGTTTATTAGACTGCTATAAAAGTGAAGCCAACACTGGAACCACTATCGAAGTTAACCCGGCATGACACTGGAGTCGTACGTTTACACATGTAATGTTGATCGTCTTAATATAAAACTAGGTAGCCAGCTTTTTAACAACCATTGAACTTGCACTGTACGGTTTCTTTCGTGTTTTTTTTTTTTTAAACCAGTCTTCAACACCTGACATGGCTCTGTGGTAGAATACCTCATTGCCACACTGAACACTTGAATTCGATTCGTGCTGAGACCCGGATTATTATCTTTAAATGCGAATGCATTTCTTAGTCGGGACCATAGCCTCCTAGATTTCCCTTGCCTGCCGGATGAGCGCGAAACGCCCGTCATCTATGGCGGCGCTACCTACGTAGGGGTAAGGGTCTTTGTACTTGGCCTTTAAGATCGGCAGTTCTGGAGTTTGCTACTAATTTCAGAGGCTATTTCTTGTATTGAAAGAGTTGCTTGCTGAATGACGGCGTAACTTACGTAGGGTTAATTATAATTACGTTTACGCCTTTTTAAAACATTGTTGCGTTATTTTTGTAGCATATAAGCCCCGAAAACGTAAAAAAAAAACGTATTTGAAGACGCCCCTACTTATGTGACGCCACCACCATAGTTCCGACGACGGCCGCTTTTCAAGCGACCGCCGATAATCCGGCAGGCAAAGGGAAATCTAGGAGGCTATGTCAGGACTATGTCAGGCGTCCGTCGGGGTCCGTCCACCGACTTCTCCCATAGCAACAGCTGCGGTGCACGCTAGCTACTAGAGCTGGAAACGCATACCACGTTTCTCGCAACAGAAAAACGCATCGTGCAGCGAACGGAGCTATTGGCTGCACGGTGTAAAAAAAATTAAAAAGAAAAAGATATTCGCTGGGTTCTCACGAGCGAAACGTCGTAATGGACACTAGGCGATGCATTCCCATTTCTTCACGATTCCCTTCGGGGAGCTGGGGGCATTTTTTTAGGGGCGAAGCTCCTTATAGCGGCACCCGTTCGTCTCCTGTAGTATGTAAGAAGTATAACATTTTGACCTCCAAGGTGGTGTCGGTGAGAGACTTCTTCTGTGCGTTGTTGAACAATAAAAAATAGTGCTCAATGTACATGTCAATGGCTGCTAATGGGGAATGAGAGACAGGAGCATTTGGCTTTTAGTTAACGCGCAGGCTGCGATCACCATTAGCAGCCATTGGCATGTACATTGAGCACTATCTGACAAGAAAGGGTTGCTACGTTATACTCGCTGGGTGTAACCTCCTTAGCTTTCGAAAGGTTTAGCGAGCGTTGAGCCGCAGTGCCATGAATACAATGGACTTGTATATACCATGAATGATCTCGAGGTGGTTAAAAATGGGAAGTAGATACGAAGCGCAAACCGTAAGAAAGTAAAAGCCGAATTCTGCGCCTCTCATTTCCCATTAGCAGCCATTGGCATGTACATTGAGCACTATCTGACTGAAAAAGTTTGCTACGTCATACTCGCTGGGCGTAACCTCCTTGGTTTTCGAAAGATTTAGCGAGCGTTCGGCCACTGTGCCATGAATACAGTGAACTAGTATATACCATGAACTCGAGGTGGTTAAAGGTGGGAAGTGGACCCGAAGCGCAAGCCGTAAGAAATTGTGCGTGTGCCACATCTCGTTTAGTCCTTGGAATGTCCGCTGGATGGCGGTGCTTCTATATGGGGAATATATGATGAAAAGATGCGAGATGGTTGTACTTGGAGTGTTGAACAGATGGACGAACGGACAACATAGACAGACGCATGGATGGACGCATGAACGGACGCAGGGGTGGCTGCATGGACGAACGCAGGGATGGACGCACGAACAGACGCACGCACGGACGGGCTGATGGACGCATGGACGGTCACACTGACGGACGCATGGACGGACGGAAGCAAGAACGAATGGACGGACGAATTCTTCGCCGCACTCTCCATCATTCACTCCGTGGATATGCTGCCATTTTTTTTATCGTTGTATTCGTCGAGTTTATGCTGCCGATGTCAGTGTCTCTTGACTATCTCATTTCCAAGTTACTAACTTGTTCTGACCATCTCGGGGTAGACGTAACCTGTCAATCACTTGTGGCGCATGCCCGTGGTATACAGGTAGGTGTCGCACGTGTCTGGCGGAAAGGGTCTGGGATAGATAGATAGATAGATAGATAGATAGATAGATAGATAGATAGATAGATAGATAGATAGATAGATAGATAGATAGATAGATAGATAGATAGATAGATAGATAGATAGATAGATAGATAGATAGATAGATAGATAGGACCTTGGTATTATGTTCGAGCAGGGTAGGAAAGATAAAGGTACTGTAGGTTGGGATAACCTGATGTGGCTTCGAAAGAGTATATGACCGCACATCATGCTACCGTTCGTAGGAAATGATATTTTAGTAAGTGCGAGTGAGTCTTTATGACTGTACTGGTGTAGCACGGCTGTGTTCTTCGTGATGGGATAAACGATAGAGGGCAGGACAGGTCTTCATACTGTACGACAGGGCGAGGTAATAAGTTAACGCAGCCTAAGTCACAATAGGCTGCGCTAGTAAGGAGAAGGTTAAGAGCGTTGTGCATTGTGGCATATATTTCAAGCTCAGGTTATCATGCGTTACATTGGAGAAGCCACTGGAAGAGGGAGTTCAGCACCCCCTGGCTTCGCCACTGAAGAAAGGACATACGCAAAGAAAGGCACCACAGTGGGACGGGGAGCGAGAGAAGAGGAACAAGTGAAAGCTACGGTGAACAGGTTATGGCATGGAAAGAAAACAAAAACAAAACAAAGCAATTCACGTATGCGTGGACTTTCCG